GCGGTGAACGCCGCGAGGATAGGCGATGGAGGATTGGGAAGTGGGGGGTGGTAGAGAGGGGGGAGAAGCGAACACGAAGCAGACGCCGCAGTCAAAACAGAGGGACGGGAGGCGGGCGGGCGCCAATGTTTGTGTTGTGGAGATTTACGCGGGCAGATGGCAGGCCTGCGCCTTCCGCCCCGACGTGGCTGCCCACCGCCTCTCATTATCACCTTCCCTCCAACCTCCGCCGTATTTGTTTGGTGTAATTTGTGCTCCGGGGAGGCGACAGGCGAATATTTGTCCTCCGTCTTCCTGCGAATTTGTCTTTGAAATTGTGTGTTCGCCCATATTGCCGCGAACAGTTAGTTATCTTAGATTCTAATTTTCTCAATGGTTCATAATATATAGGCGTTTTGTATACGTTAAAACGTGCTTGAACGATGTCACCGGGTCAGCCTACATTGACGTCATAGAGCCAGCCCACGAATCTTCAGTGATGTCATAGGGCCAGCCCATGAGCCGACAGTGACGTTATAGGGCGACCCTACAGTGACATCACCAAGCGACCCTATAGTGACATCACCGGGCCAGCCAGCCTACAGTGACATCACCGGACCAGCCAGCCTATAGTGACATCACCGGGCCAGTCAGCCTGCAGTGACATCACCAGCTAGCCTATAGTGACATCATCGGGCCAGCCAGCCTACAGTGACATCACCAGCCAGCCTACAGTGACATCACCGGGCCGGCCAGCCAGCCAGCCTACAGACACTGGCCTCATAACTCCGCCTCATAAATTCACATAAATTGCCCGTGGCAATCTCTGTTTATTTGTAAAATACCTTCCCTTCAAATAACTCTTTAAAGAGGTGACAAATTCTGGACCTTGTACAACATTATGGACGACAGTCATAAATATGACCTTCAAACGCGTTTAGTTAGGCTTATGTTTGGGTCAGGCGAGACCCCAGGACCCCCCCCCCCCCGGCGGCCTCCTCCCTAGATTTATAAATATACACGAATCGAAAGTTTGAAAAGTCTAGAAAATGAAACGGGAACGAAAGTTTAAAAAAAATACATATGAAAATAAATGTACCTTTGGTGTCGCTGGAAAATTAAAATTAAAAATTAAAATGATTTGTATCAACGGGGATTTTATAGGCTGTTCATCTTGGGTAACATTTAATATGACTGTGTTAGGTCTGGTCGTTAAGGCGTGTTTGGTAGTTGGTCTCGGTGACCTTTGACCCGTGTTAGGTCTGGTCGTTAAGGCGTGTTTGGTAGTTGGTCTCGGTGACCTTTGACCCGTGTTAGGTCTGGTCGTTAAGGCGTGTTTGGTAGTTGGTCTCGGTGACCTTTGACCCATCTGGCCTCACGCCAGTATTTTACAGTCTGGGTTAAGGTGCCACAGGTAAAGGTAGTTAACTAACTTTTAAACACTTTAGTAACAAAATGAAATAAAATATAAGCAAATAACCGCAACCCGGGCAACAAACTTTGCTAATTTTCGCCAAATGTAAAAAAAAAATGTAAGATAATAAAAAAAATTAATAAATTACAAATGTATTTTTGACGTTAAGAGCAATGTTGTCTTTGTTCAGGATATGCAAATGTGACCCACCTGTTGAGCGCGGTATTTCCCCGTTCTCTCTATTGCAACTCCGTGAAAAATGTAACGGTTTACGCTAACCAGAAGCCTCGCAATATAAGCAATTACTTTCCCTACCGGAGCCGATCCTCATTAGTCCCACGAAGCGTCAGTATTACGGTGGTTTTAGTTTCTCTAAACCACCGCCCCTAACGGTGGTTGATAGCGTAACAATAAGGGCCACATTGAACAAGAGCCAGCCCCTTCACACACTTGTCATTATGGCTCAGTGGTAGCATGCTCCCTTCTCGCCTCGCGTATACTTTCGTTCAGGTTCGAACCCTGAGTAGAGAGCACCGATTCTTAACTCTTCGTCTCCGTTCACCCAACAGTAATTAGGGACCTGGTTGGGAAATTTTTGGTGAGTAATCATTCTTTAGGTAAAGGGAAAGTTAGTTGGGTAAGGCTTAGTTAGGATGAGATGCCAGTTACAGTAGTTATTCCATTCACCTGGACTGTAAGGGTTTCGAACCCTGGACTAGACGCTCCACGGTTTTAAAACCGAAATAAATACGGTTTTATGGTAGTTATTAATCACATGTCAGCAGTAGACCAATAATAATAATAATAATAATAAGGAATGTCAACACTTTAAACAATCAAATACAGCTCTATGAGCCGAATAAAGAATTGGTGTCGTCACCCCTACACCGCCTCTTCACTCCCCTCTCTCATCTGTTCATCCACCAGTCTGCCTGTCCACCCAAGTAAAGCAAAGAATTCCCAGGTCTTATCAGCCGACTCCATTCGCGCGCAAGGGATTACGCGTGTCCACTTCCCGCCAGAGTTTCCCGCGCTTTTTGTCGTCACGTGACCTATTTACCCGCCATTAATCCGCCAATCCGGTGTCACTTTATCTTTCCCGCCACTCAACGTCACTTCCGCCCCACCGACTTCCAGTTGCCGCTTTCTTTTTTTTCTTTGTCGAGAGTAAATGTATCTCATCCATTCATTCACCTCTCTCTCTCTCTCTCTCTCTCTCTCTCTCTCTCTCTCTCTCTCTCTCTCTCTCTCTCTCTCTCTCTCTCTCTCTCTCTCTCTCTCTCTCTCTCTCTCTCTCTCTCTCTCTCATAATAAATTAGACTATGATTGTATTATGTTGAACCTCGTCTAATAGATTATTATATCAAGTTGTATCACTGGGATTAGATTGTCTTATAATATGTAGAACCACGTGAAGTAGTTTATATGAGGCGGAACTATATAAATGGATTGTTTATACTAAGCAGAATCTCACGAAGTGGTTTATATGGGTTCTGTAGTTGTTCACTTGTTTCACAACCGAAATGTCCCGGGTTCGATTTCCTTGCCAGAATACAGACGGTTGGGCGTGTTTCCTTTCATCTAATACATCTGTTCATCTACCTGTGAATTTGGCAGTTGTTGTGGGTAGCAGAACTATGTAAACAGATTGTTTACAACCAAACCAGGTGCAATTGTTTACACAGTTCAAAACTACGTAGAATATTTGATTTATAACAGATGCAATTAATGTTACCTAGATGAAAAACCGGTTGAAATGGATTGTTTACAAGTGGAATCGCTCAAGCGAGAGTTTTTGTCCCCAGTTCACACTCAGCGAACTCTGATCCCCTCATTCAAACCCTTTGTCAACTGCCTCCCCCCCCCCCTCCCCCCCTCGTGGTGAGTGGATGGGGGCGAGGTCCTGGTGTGGTGATTTATTGGTGGGTCTCCCACACAAATTGTGGTGGTGGTGGTAGTGTAGGTAATTGTGGTTGGTGGTGGTGGTGGTAGTGTAGGTAATTGTGGTTGGTGGTGGTGGTGTAGGTAATTGTGGTGATGGTGTAGGTAATTGTGGTTGGTGGTGGTGGTGGTAGTGTAGGTAATTGTGGTGATGAATGATTGAGATGGTGGTGATAGTGCTTATTTTTTCTTTACTAACACTAATCGTCTCTCTCTCTCTCTCTCTCTCTCTCTCTCTCTCTCTCTCTCTCTCTCTCTCTCTCTCTCTCTCTCTCTCTCTCTCTCTCTCTCTCTCTCTCTCTCTCTCTCTCTCTCTCTCTCTCTCTCTCTCTCTCTCTCTCTCTCTCTCTCTCTCTCTCTCTCTCTCTCTCTCTCTCACAGTCCACACCCACAATCCCTGGGAACATTCAATAAACCCTCTCTGTAGTGATGGAGAGAGAGGGAGGACACTTGAGAAGAGGGAGGAGTGTGAGAAATGAGAAGGAGAGAGCCAGTAGGTAGATGGAGTGATGAATAAACTCCAGTCTCCTCCATCATCAGATACTGACGATCATCCATTAATGTCTTATATTAGACATTATATTATATATGTTATATTTAGACATTTATCTCTAAATGTCTGTTATAATTAGACACAACACGAAACAATACTGTACTGATAAATACATCAATTAAAAGTGAGAATAATAGCTGTTGAAATATAAATAATTAATGAGTGTACATTTAATAATAATGATATTAATGGTCCACATCTACTGTAAGTCTATATAATATAATGTCTGTTTGTTCAGAGTAGGAGGCCAGGCGCTTGGAGTTAACCTTACCCAACTTTGCAAGATGACACATGTGGGGAGGGGGCTGTATATAGGCGACATAAGCTAGTTGGGGGGTTGGCCCCCAATCCCACCCTTTAAGAAATATAGATATCTATAGCGACCCCCCGCGGTTTTCACGAATTTTAAAATCGGGGATTTTTGGAGTTTTTTTTCAGTGCTTCGTAATATTAAATTTTCTGAGAGAGTGAAAGAGGAGCAGGAGAAGGGAGATGTTGGGGAAGGAGGATGGAGAGGAGATAAAGAAAATTGAGAGAGAGAGAGGGGGGGGCGATTTTGAAAGTGAAGGAGAAGAGAGACCCGGGGACCGCCGGGGACATCCCGTTTAGTAGAATACAACTCAAAGTGAAAAGTGAACGTTAGTTTGGTATTTTGTACATGATACTGATACCATTCTTCCTGATTCATTCTCCTATATGATCCTGATACCATTCTGTTTTTATTAATTTTCTAAGTAATTTGATTGCTTTGTACGTGTTGACACGTGTGTCAAAGCTACCTTTAACCTTTGAACTTGATGATTGGTCATTTGTGCATTATTCTAACTTATTTAACTTTTGGATTCTTCGTGTACTTGTGCACGATTCTGACAGGTGTGTAAGGGACTCGAATACCTCTTAATGTGACTGTGATTCCTCTGTACATGATTGTAACGCGTCTGGAAGCGATTCTAACTCCGTTATCCACGACTCGAAACCTTTTATACATCACAGTGTCATCTTTCCAGACCTGCTCGTGTTCCCGTCTTCTTAACACAAAACGATTTACCTATTTTGTCCATGTATCATTCTCATGTGTTTATGGTCAATAATGTGTTACTGACCGTCCCGAAGGTGGTGATCCTTGGAAGTTTTGTGTTATCCATTTTGCTCATGTGTCTCTCACTCGTCAAGCGGCGACTAAGCTTGTATTATTGACTTCCCCGCAGGTGGTGATCTCGCAACAGGTGGACGTGGCCGGGCCGCTGCTGGCCGTGTCTGACAACATGTTCGTACACAACAACTCTAAACACGGCAGGAGGGCCAAGCGTCTTGACCCGACTGAGGGCATGTTTGGTGAGTACTGGCCTCCGGGCACTCCACCCTTGGACGAGTTGTTCTCCACTCTTGGACGAGTTCTTCTCCACTCTTGGACGAGTTCTTCTCCACTCTTGGACGAGTTCTTCTCCACTCTTGGACGAGTTCTTCTCCACTCTTGGACGAGTTCTTCCCCACTCTTGGACGAGTTCTTCTCCACTCTTGGACGAGTTCTTCTCCACTCTTGGACGAGTTCTTCTCCACTCTTGGACGAGTTCTTCTCCACCCTTGGACGAGTTCTTCTCCACTCTTGGACGAGTTCTTCTCCACCCTTGGACGAGTTCTTCTCCACTCTTGGACGAGTTCTTCTCCACTCTTGGACGAGTTCTTCTCCACTCTTGGACGAGTTCTTCTCCACTCTTGGACGAGTTCTTCTCCACTCTTGGACGAGTTCTTCTCCACTCTTGGACGAGTTCTTCTCCACTCTTGGACGAGTTCTTCTCCACTCTTGGACGAGTTCTTCTCCACTCTTGGACGAGTTCTTCTCCACCCTTGGACGAGTTCTTCTCCACTCTTGGACGAGTTCTTCTCCACTCTTGGACGAGTTCTTCTCCACTCTTGGACGAGTTCTTCTCCACTCTTGGACGAGTTCTTCTCCACTCTTGGACGAGTTCTTCTCCACCCTTGGACGAGTTCTTCTCCACCCTTAGACGAGTTCTTCTCCACCCTTAGACGAGTTCTTCTCCACCCTTGGACGAGTTCTTCTCCACCCTTGGACGAGTTCTTCTCCACCCTTGGACGAGTTCTTCTCCACCCTTGGACGAGTTCTTCTCCACCCTTGGACGAGTTCTTCTCCACCCTTGGACGAGTTCTTCTCCACCCTTGGACGAGTTCTTCTCCACCTTTGGACGAGTTCTTCTCCACCCTTGGACGAGTTCTTATGGCGGCGGCGGGGTAGCTCTTTTGGGGGTCCTTGTATGGGGCTGTTTTAGGGTTCTTAGAGAGGCTGTTCTAGGGGTCTTAGACGGGCTGCCGCAGGACGCTTAGAGGTACTGTTTTAGGGTAATTGGAGGGACTTGTCTGATAATTATTTTCGGTCAGCTAGAGCTGTTATACTTTGTTTGGGAATGTTAATTTTTTTTTATGCAATTTGAATGTGTTATGTCCTGTTTTTCCTCACACATAGACTTGAATAAAAAAGACAAGGAGAATCCTAGGGATCAGAAACCTTCCTTGTGGAGAGACAGCAAATAACCTGAAATTACTTTCCTAAGATTTTAGAAAAAAGAGGAGTAAGTGATGATAGTAGATAAGTAGATAGTGGAAGTAGATAAATGGACAGAAGGGGATAACATAGGCTATATAAATATATGGTTTGAATATATCAACGCAAAACACTGAAACAATTGATATAAATTGAATAAATTTACGTTTAGGAAAGACCTGGATAAATACTGGTTCCGAAATAGGGGATGCTGCTATTAACATAATAGATGTAGAATCAGTGGAGTGTTTCAAGCGTAGGGGTGACATATATATACGAATGAGTTTGGGTGGGTGTAAATAGGAGCTGCCTCGCAGGAGCCTGTAGATCTTCTTTTGTCGCCTTTATTCTCGTGTTCTTATATATTTTAACAGCTTCTTCAAGGTTTTCCTGGACTTTTTTTTTAGTGTTTTTTGTGATATCAAGAACCTGGTTTAAGGCGTCGATTATGGCCTTTAATGAGAGAAGAACAGTGATGAACAATTTTTGAACACCATTTTGGGTTTGATAATGTTCTTTCTGTTCTACTGTTATATTATTCGTGATGTTTCAATTAATCGATGTGATTAAAATAATACTATCTGTTATCACTACCACAAATACTAATGATAATAATAATTATGTTAATGAAAAATATATTTTCCTAAAACAACTCGTATTGTCTAATTTCTCTTTGAGAGTTGTGCTTACATTAATTACCCCCAACTTTTATTTCCAGCACTATATTCATTCCTACAGAAAAACACATTTTACTAAGAATTATCTTGATGTTTCAAGAACGTTTCCCGTGGAGTTAAATTTATTTCCCGTGGTACTTTTTTTCCCCCCTAGGTGGTAGGGAGGGAAATAAGTAACATTCCAGTCATATTGTTCCTTTAAGAATTTCCGCTGTAATATCTCCCTTCGTTATCACACCTCCCTCATCTCTCCTCTCCCTTTTAAATCTGAGGAGGAAGCTCGTATATTCTTGGGTATGAACTATGTCTTTTACTAACTTTGGGAAACCCCTGGCGATCTTAAGGTAAAAAGCAACAATAGTTTCTCATTTGTAAGTTGGTCTTAGACAATCCCCCGCGGGGCCATAGCTCCCCGCTGATTGGTTTATTCTCCCAGCGGGAACTAGACTCGGCTTCTGATTGGTCCGAGACGCCTCGTCGTTCACAAGACGCGGGAATGCCAATTCGGATTTTTTTATGCGTTTATTTTTTGAGAAGTGTGTCGCTGTGAAATCTTTCAGGATGTAAGAGGTGTATCGAAAATCAGTGTGTAGGACCATCGGCAGCCTCGTGCCACAAAGCACAATGCTGAGTTAGCTCGGGAAGCATAAATTCCGGTGTCGGCGCGGTGATAATACTCCTTCCCGCCTTTTTTTTTTTAAACTCGTGTTTATTTTACGCGGGAAGTCCCAGCGAGTTTTACGAGGATGTGAATTGCCACATATAAGAATTTTGTCGTTGAATATACTTGGCCAGCGGCACTACATCGCTCACTTTACACCGTAAAGTACACAATTTTTGTAAGTCCGTAGATGATGCATGTTGGGGTATGCGATTTTATGTTGTTGAGCTTCCGTTACCAAAGACCGGATATGTAGACCATAAAATGAGGTGTTTTAAAAACTCATGCGGTGATCATTATGGGATATAAACATTGTTGTCGGTTAATGTGTTCTTGTAAAGCTAAGATATGGCCGGGAACACACACACAATACAGTCTTTTTAAAAACCTTTGTAGGTAGTCTTGAGATGTAAGACCATGTGTTCCAACACTTTACCACACGTAAACACACAAGGAGCTGTGCGCGTGGGGCCGCTCACATACTGGTAACCCTTGACGTTCATTGGACATAAATTCTAAGGATTTTTAAAATAGCGAGATACTAAGGGAACTTAAAATATAATACTCTTTAAAAATAAATAATTCAGCGATCAGATAAACTAATTTTAACTCAACTTTATCCAACCTAAAGCACTTGAGTATTATTAAATCCGAGTTGGAACTTCAGCGGACACCTTTTTAAACGAAACATAATGATGTGCATGACATGATATCCATATACTTTTTTGTTATCTTAACCGATCACAGCCGAGAGAGAAAGGCATCATTGGAAAACAATAAAGGTGGCGTCAGGGTTAACGAGTTGCCAGGTGGTGATTGTGTGTCCTGGAGGTAATGTGCTTTGTTGAAGATCTGTCTACAGGGACCACACTACCACCCACCGAGTTTTAAAGCTATATTACACCTGAGATGTTATATCTTGTGTGATGGTGCTCTCTCTCTCTCTCTCTCTCTCTCTCTCTCTCTCTCTCTCTCTCTCTCTCTCTCTCTCTCTCTCTCTCTCTCTCTCTCTCTCTCTCTCTCTCTCTCTCTCTCCTTGGCCACTGGGCGTTGAATAGCGATCAATCCCAATTTCACTTGTCTAATTTCACCATGTGTGTTTGTGAGGGGGGGGGAGGAAGAGCACGGGGGGGGGGTGTGAGGAGATATAAGAGGAATGAAATAAAAAGAGTAGTGCAAGGAGTGAGAAAAGAGAGGGAAGAGGAGGGAGAGACGAGAGAGGTGAGGAAGCCGAACTGTCGTCGGCGGCTGCTTCCCTCTTCGTCTCTATTACTTCCCTCTCCCTCTATCTCCTCCCTCTCCCCCCCCCCTCCTCTCCCCTCCCTTCTCAACCTCGCCTCTTTCCTTTCTCCTCCCCTCTCGGCCGCCTGTTTCTCTCTCTTTAATCCCCTCGCTTCTTTGCTCTCACCTCACACTCTCTCCACTCTTTCATTCGTCGAGTAACGAATATTTCGTTAGCGGGGTGATGAGAGGGACGGAGAGTAACGGTGAGAGAGAAAGGTGAGAGGGAAGAGTGAGAGTGGTTACGTTGGTCTTCGTGTAAGTCAATCCGTCTCTGTACTCGTGTTCGTGAAAGTCAATCCGTCTATGTACTCGTGTTCGTGTAAGTCAATCCGTCTATGTACTCGTGTTCGTGAAAGTCAATCCGTAGAGGCTTGAGGTGTTCCTTGAGACACCGGACGCTGCAGCTCCTCTTCTGTCAAGGAGAACCTCTAGTCCGTAGTTATATCACTGACACACACGAAGGAATGAGAGGAAATACTGGGAGCCTTGACGGGCAGTCAGCCAGTGGAATGCTCTGAAGGAAGAAGCTGTGAAAGCCACCTCCAGCCTCAACTTTTTTAGGCCAGCTTGGACCAAGGAGTCGAACATCAGGGTAGATCAGTTCTAACGCAACAGATGAAACAAGGCTGTTAGGCTCGGAATCGAGTGATGTAGACCTTGATCTCCCGTTGACACTGATAGATAGAGAGGCGGGACCCCGGAGCTGAGCTCTGCCAGTACAGGTGAGTGGAGACACAAGGAGTTCCCCCTTCCTTGCTTCGTCTTCCATCCCTTTTCTACCTCTCCTCTCTTCTGCTGCTCCTCTTCCATCTATCCCTCTTTCTCTTCTCCCTCCATTCCTTTCTCTCCCTCCTTGTCTTCGCCAGCCACAGTCTCCAACACTAACCCCCACCATCCACCCTCCTTCCTATCCCTCAACCCTCCTACCCCCCCTCCACTAATCCTCCTCAATTCCCCCCTCTATCCCTCTCCATAACCCTCACCAACCCCGTCCTTCCCCACAACTACCTCCCCACCAAGTACTTTCCCAACCAACCTCCTCCCCAACAAACCCCCTCCCCCACCACCCCCCTCCCCCACCAACCCCTTCCCCCCACCATTACCTCCCCCACCAACCCTTCCCCCCACCATTACCTCCCCCACCAACCCCTTC